TGGGGGTTAGTAAGTGACTAATCCACTATCTAACTATCGCTCTCCCGGGCTGTTCTTTCTCCCCCCGACCTGCGTTATTCACATCTTCTCCCCTGCATCCCATCCACTATTATTCTACATTCTTCTTCTATTGCAGCCTCTGTGTCATCTTCAACACACCCCTCCCGCATCATTTGCGCACGCCGCTCATGGACACTCAGGCTGAACCCCCTCGAAAAAGACGATGTGGCAAGGAGCGAGTGCGCGTGACCCGCGCCTGCGACGCCTGCAAACGGTAGGCCGGCCTCCATCCACCCTCTCTCTGTATGAGCACTATCCTGAGTCGGTATGATAGAAAGAAACTACGCTGCTCAGGAACGCTTCCCTGTTCCCTCTGTCAGCGCACTAGCAAACCATGCGACTACACGGCCGAGTACAACCGGGGGAAACTCCCTCCCATTCCCCCTCGGGAACAGCCCAATACTCCTCCCAGGACGGAGACTACCACGGACTTCCCCCTCGAATCATCAGCCTCGCCAGTCAGAGAGAACGGCTTTGCGAACGAGGCTCCCTCCCGCAGCTCTCCTGAGGCACATCAGACCGATATGGAAGGTCACTATGTAGGGCCGTCGTCGGGGGTTTCCTTTCTGATTCGAGCCCAGAAGAGACTGCAAGAGCAGATCTCCCTCCCGATCAATGCCCCTATCTTCAGCTTTGGTGACGCCCCGTTGTCGAAGCTGGACCCGGCTTTTCTCCTGCTGCCGCCTCGATTTGAAGCCGATATCCTCATTGCTCGATACTTTGATTTCGCCTTCCCGACCCACCGCTTTCTCCATCAGGCCCAGGTGGAGGGATGGGTCTCCGAGTTCTATGGTCCCCTCCAGGACTCGGCGGTGGCGGGGCCTGGCAAGCGCGCCATTCGGGCCTTGGTTTTGATGGTCCTGGCTCACGCGAAGCAATGTTTACCAGAGTCAGATCAAGGGATCGGGGCGTCGGTCAACGGCACCCTCTACCTGGCGGCAGCGGAGCATCATCTGGCTGCCGAGACCGGCCCGGTGCGCTTGACGAGTGTGCAGGCCCGCTTGGCCCAGTGCTTCTACCTCCTGTCGCAATCTCGCATCAATCATTGTTGGAGTCTGTTCGGGACGACCGCCCGCCTGGCCATCGCCATTGGCCTTCATCGGGCTCGCAGGAGAGACCGGGGGTCTGGCTTCGATTACGTGGACGGGGAGTGCCGAAAACGCGTCTTCTGGTGTGCGTATAGTCTCGACAACTATCTCAGTGCCGCCCTGGGCCGTCCGCGCATCTTTCATGACGACGATATTGACCAGGAGCTCCCCTCGGTCGCAAATGACAGCCACATTCTAGCCAACCAGATCCTCCCGGCGACGACATCAGCCCAGAGCATTATGCTGGCCCCCGTCTATCATGCCAAGCTGTCTGTCATTATTGGGGGGATCTTACATGATGTCTACGGGCCCCGGCGGGCCAGTGGGCAGGTGGAAGCGGCAGCGGCCGCCAAATACGGGGCCAGTCTGTCTCGCTGGCGTCAGGAGCTATCGGGATTCCTCGATGTGGCAAACGTTGATCTGCTCATGCTGACCTACCAACGACAGTATACCGTTCTCAATCTCGCTTTTTACCATGCGCAGGTCCTCCTATACCGACCCTTCATTCTGAAAGACTTTGGTCACTCCACCGTCACCCGTCCTCAGAATGACAAATCATTGGAATCGGTCCGAAAGTACACTGGACTGTGCCTGGAGGCTGCCATGAAGATCGCGGCAATCGTCCGTGAGTTATGCGACCGGGGCAGAATGTATTCTACCTTCTGGGTGAGAGGCCCCAGCTTTCAGGAGTCCAAACAAGCCCACTAATAAGCCCGTGCCTAGTTTACCCATTACTACACATTTTCCGCGATTGTGGTTCTCTACGTCCATGTGGTCCAGGGCTCTACACAGGTGCACCGACCGGACCGACTGGACTGGTATCTTCGGATTGCTGAGCAAGCCCAGCGGGATCTCGCCTTCTGCGGCTCGCGCTCTTCGTTTGCACAGCGCTACGTGCTAGTGCTCGAGGAACTTCGGCAAGAAGCTCGAACAGCGATCAACCATACTCGGTCGGGAGTTTTAGGAAGCCAGACGGTCTTCTCATCTGCCCTGGGCCCACCTCCATCACAGCACGGACATGGCAGCTCCGCACCCCATGGAGCTGCAAAAGCCAATGTGGGCGAAGCCTTGTTCGGCCTCCAACCTCTGCAGACCGGAGCAAGACCTGCGGACAATCAGTGGATGGACCTGACCTCCGTGCACCTCCACCCGCAGCCCTCTCACGCAAACCCTGTGAACGATGGAATTGGCGGGACAGGGATCATGAATGTTTCTGACTGGGAAGCCTTGGACTCGCTAGCCGTTGCTGGACTAGGGGAGCTGGACTATCTCTTTCCTCTGGATGGCTTCCAAGATGTCTAGCTTCTAACCAAGCAGACTACGAACCCTCAATCAATCTTAGGCTTCCGACGACTGATTTCGAAGTACAGGTTTTAAAAAGAGATCACATGAGACTTCGACATGCTCAAGCTAACAAGAGACCTTTGAGCAAGACTACAAGTCCGGCAGCCCCGGGATCAGGAACTTCGCTCCAACCTTGCTCGGGGACATAGACAGCGCGCCCCAGCGAGGCTCGCATCCCTTGCGTCCGATCGCGCCCAGACTCGGCGGCTAGCAGAGCGGCCTCGGCGGATTCGCCCGCTTGCAGCGCTCTGATGAACGGATCGAGCGCATCCATCAACGTCCGGTCTCCTACTCGTGCTGGAGTGGCGCGCTGCAGAGCATCCAGTCCTGCCACACAAGCCTCGCTCCAGTCAGCGGCTCCGACTAGTCTCTCTTCCGGCAATTTGTCTCCGGCGTCCCGCAAGGAGGCACCGACTGCATTGAGGAAAATCGCATAAAGTGCGCCCGAAGTGCCATCCATGTTGTTCTCCACCACCTGAGCAATGGCCTCCACGGACCCAACCACATCGCCGTCGGGGGCCACGCAGCCGCCCTTCTCCATGTCCGCCAGCATTGCTCGGGCTGTCCGCGCCAGCGTCGAGCCACAGTCTCCATCCCCGACCAAGGAGTCGAAGCGATCGATCTCTTCCTCCGCAGCCACAAGCTTGTGACAGGCACGAGTAATGGCCGCCGAAAGCGATCGATTATCCACTATTGCATCAAGATTATTGTTAGGTGATGACGTATACGGAGGGGTAGCAACGATGCTACTGACCCTTCAATCGCGATGAACTTGAATCGAGGCGTTTGGCCTTCTCGTCCGCAGCAGCAGATGACTTTCTTGCTACGGGAGATGTCTCCAGATGTTGGTGGGCGGTCCAGCCAGGACTCGATGCAGGGGCATCTAAGGCTTGTATCATTGCTTTGCTGGCTTTGAGCAATGTGATGCTAAATCCCTTTCCGTCTAGGCTGGTCATGTAAGCCCCAGCGTATACTCGTCTTGGATGCAAGTTGCGTTCACCTGCGTCTCTCTTGTTAGCCAAATTGAATCACAGAAGGGGATCCCTAACTTACCAAGTCGTGCGATGACCACCTTCGTCACAGCTGAGAACTCGAGGTTCGAAACGCCACCAAGGTTGTTAACCATGAGCACCAAATCTTCCGCATCGTCGAACCGGACATATGCTCGATCTTTGTCTTCCTGATCCAGTAATTGATCCAGCATCTGATCTATAAGAATGTTGATATCAGGTTGAGGCTTAAGCACGTAGCACCCTGGCTCATTGTGGATCCCCATGCCAACCTCGACCTGGTCTGTCCGCACCGTCAGGTCTGTGGTAGGCTTTCCCACCAGATGCACATGATCCAAGGCAGCTCCGACCGTGGCCAGGTTCGCCACAACGCCCTCACCTAATTGATATAATTCCTTCAGAGTGGCACGTTCATACTGCGCGACAGCCCCAAGGATCTTCTCCACGAGGACAGTACCAGCTAGCCCTCTCCGGCCTACCTTGCCACTTTTGCGTCGGCCAACCGACACGTCGTCCCCCACGACCAAGACTGCCATCTCATGGCCCGCGAGACGAGCTTTCTCTGCAGCGAGATGAAAGTGGAGGACGTCCCCGGTGTAGTTCATGATTATCAGCAGTGTCCCAGCCGATCCACCGGCTGAAGCAATCGCGCTCTGGATCTGATGCACACTTGGCGATGCAAACACGGATCCGGAGACCGCAGCGCTGAGTAGGCCATCGCCAACCAAGCCGGCAAACGAAGGCTCGTGTCCCGCACCACCGCCAGATATCAGAGTCACCTTGGCGTTGCCGTCATGGCGGGAGTTAACGATTGCTGCAGTGCATTAGCATTGGCTGGTATTGGGCCGGCTTTGAATCTCGTCACCCACATTTATTATCGGGGTCGTAAATCAGCGAGGGGTGGGTCAGTGCCAGGCCCTGGAGCGCATCCTGCACGAGAGTGGTCCCGTCGTTGATGAAGTGTCTGGTTGCCATTGCGCCAAGCGTGAACAAATCGTGTGATGCCAGTATGACCGCAGCCTCAGCTTCTTTGTGGCGACTTTTATCCCTTTACATGTTTGCCATACCCTTTTCCTACAACGTGAAGCATTCCGGACCGCTTCGAAAGTCGGCCCATGACGGGGATACAAGTCCGGCACCCTCGGTTGAATTGATGCTCTGGTGATGATTTCCGCCCCAATGATTGCAAGATACAGACTACGTGCGAGAGGAATAAAGTCCGAAGCGTTACCCAGACGCGTCCTATCTTGATTCTACGGTTTTCCGGGCTTGGAGCGATTGCTTTGGTCGGCTAAGGCGATGCTTATCCGAGTGGGGATGCACTTTTCCGACCCCACACCCTAACCGGGGGATTCTTTCGCGTATTCCCCCGCAATCCAGCAAGTACAGAGTAATAGATAAACGATTCATCATATGCATGGAGCCGCAATTCAGCCAAAAAAAGGCTTATCTTCCATCTTTTGCACTCAGAGTAACCATGCTTCTCACCTCATCCGACATGGACAGCGTGACAGAGGCCCGACAGCTGGGTGAACTCCCACCCAGCCCGCCTCACGAGAAAGAGATCTCTCCTCAGACGATTAACGACGTGCTGTTGCGACTGATCCAGGATGCCCCAGACCTACCACTGGTAGGGTACCCGGAAAGCTCTCATGGGGTCAGCGACTATGTATACTACTCTGCTCGCCAGCTGGATCGCTTCGCCAACGGCGCAATCGAGCAATTGAAGAAGGCTGGACTTGAGAAGGTAAGAGCAATGCCTTCGCCTACATATCCTCTTCCTTTCTAATGTCGCTACGCAGTTCTCGCACCCGACGGAGAACCGAGTTGTCGCGATTCTCGGCGCCTCTAATCTCGACTACATTGTCTCCCTGTTCGCACTGACCCGATTGGGATACGCCGTCTTGCTGCTCTCGACCCGACTCAGCACGGAAGCTTATGTGAATCTCCTCGCAGCCACCAAGTGTACTCAACTCCTCTACTCCGGGTCAACCACAAAGGCTGTGAACAAGCTCGAGTCTACCACATCCCTTACTAGTTACAAGATCCCGGACCATGCCGCCTACTCAGCCAGCACCCTCAGCTCGTCTCTACAGCTGACCGACAACAGCCACTTGAGTCAGAAATGGGCGTTCATCATCCATTCATCCGGGTCTACGGGCCTTCCCAAGCCAATCTTCCAGACCCATGGGGCGTGCATTGCCAACTACAGCACCAGCAAGGGATACCGGGCCTTGCTAACCCTGCCGTTGTACCACAACCACGGCCTTTCGACCTTCTTCCGATCGCTGTTCAAGCGCAAGCCGGTTGCGATCTACAACGCCAACTTGCCCTTAACAGGCAATCATGTCCTCGAGACGATGCGGGTGACAACCCCAGAAAGCTTCCATGGCGTGCCGTATGTGCTCAAACTGCTGAGTGAAGTCGAGGGCGGTGTTGCGGCCTTAGCGCAGTGCCAGCAGGTTCTCTTTGGTGGGAGCAGCTGTCCCGATGATCTGGGAGATCTTCTCGTCGAGCAAGGAGTGCGGCTGATCAGTCACTACGGCGCGTATGTTAGCCCCTCTCCAAAGATACCTTGATGTCTGGAAATTTAATCGAGAGTGCAGAACCGAACTTGGTCAACTCATGACCTCCGAACGACCCCCGGAAGACAAGGCATGGAATTACGTCCGACCCCTCCCCAAGGTGGCTCCTTTTGTGAAGATGGACCTGCTGGAGGATGGCTCGTACGAGTGCGTCGTGCTCGATGGTCTACCGGCCAAGGTCAGCTCGAACTCAGACGACCCCCCAAACTCCTTCCACACTCGCGATACGTTCCTGAAACACCCGTCCATCCCCAATGCGTGGAAGTACTTGGGTCGACTGGACGATCGCATCACGCTCGTCAACGGCGAGAAGGTGCTTCCCGTGCCCATCGAGCACCGCATCCGCCAAAATCGCTATGTCCAGGACAATCTCGTGTACGGCGTCGGGCGTCCGCTCCCGGGCCTGCTTGTCGTACCCAGCGTCGAGTGTCAAAAGATGACAAAGGCAGAGATCCTCGAACAGATCTGGCCGGACATTGCCGCAGCCAACGCAAATGCAGAGGCCTTCAGTCAGATCTCCCGCGACATGGTTATCGTCTTGGACCCCGGCTGTTCATATCCCGCCACCGACAAAGGGACCATGATCCGCAACCGGTGCTACCTCGAATTCAATGATCAGATCGAGGAGAAGTACCGGAAGCTCCAGGAAGGTGGCTCGACCGCCGCGGCAAGTCGCCGCGTCTTCGATAACGTACAGGAGCTGGAGCAGTTCCTGCTGTCCTTATTCCGGGACGAGCTAGGATTCACGGAGATCGATCTGGACACGGACTTCTACGAAGCAGGTGTGGACAGTCTTCAGGCCATCAAGGCACGCGGTGTTATTCAGAATCAAGTGGACATCGGGTCCGCTCAGCTGGGTCATAACGTGATTTACGACTGCGCCAACATTCGCAAACTGGCTGCTCATCTCGACGCGGTCCGCACCGGGCAAGAGAGCAGCGCTGAAGACGAGCTGAGTGTCATGGCCCGACTGATCGATAAATATTCGACTTTCGTGAGCAGACCCACTGCCGAAGAGACGGTTGTAAGTTTCAGTCCCTCTCTAGATCACGTTGGGATCTCCATCAGGTACTAAACCACGCAGCTTCTTACCGGCACCACTGGCTCATTGGGCGTTTACATCCTCTCACGCCTCATGCAGAACCCGTCCGTTAAGCAGATCTACTGCCTTGTGCGGGCGAGCAGCCCCTCCGACGCGCTCGACCGCGTGCTCACGAGCCTGTCCACCCGATCGCTGCCGATGGTTAATGTGTCCAAGATCATTGCCCTGCCATCGCAGTTTGGCCGCGAGAATCTTGGCCTGCCAGTCGCGGTATTGGACGACCTGCGCCAGTCGCTCACCAAGGTCATCCACGCTGCGTGGGCCGTCAACTTCACCCTGGGCGTGCAGAGCTTCGAGCAACAACACATCCGCGGCGTCCACAACCTGATCAACCTGTGCCTCTCCAGCACGCGCACCTCCCCCGCGGAATTCTACTTCTGCTCGTCGATCTCCGCCGCCGCCGGCACGCCTCTGCCGGCGACCATCGCCGAGGGCCCGATCCCGGAGCTAGCGCACGCACAGAACATGGGGTACGCGCGCTCCAAGCTCGTGGCGGAGCGCATCATCCAAGCGGCGGCCGAAACGACGGGAATGGTCGCCAAGGTCCTCCGCGTGGGCCAGATCGTCGGCGACACGGTGACGGGCAAGTGGAACCGCACCGAAGCCATCCCGCTGATGCTGCAGACCGCACACACCCTCAAAGCTCTGCCGGCGCTCGACGAGACCCCGTCCTGGCTGCCTGTCGACGTGGTGGCCGATGCAGTGCTTGAACTCAGCGGCATTGCCACCGCCGATTCCTCCACCTTAGCAATGATCTCCCGCCATGACCCAAGCGTCGTCTACCATGTGCAGAACTCCAGGACCTTCCGCTGGACGGAGGACCTGCTCCCCGCGCTGCAGCAAGCAGGACTGGAGTTCGAGATCCTGCCCAAGCGGGAATGGGTGCAGCGGCTTCGCGAATCCGATCCGGACCCGGCCAAGAATCCCACCATCAAACTGCTGGATTTCTTCACGGAGAAGTACGATAACGAGAACCCCGGTCGAGCCGGGTTGAGCTTCGAGATGGAGAAGACGGAGGCGGCGAGTCCGTCATTGAGGGGAGGCGTTGAGTTGATCGCGAACGGGCTGATTCGAAAGTTTGTGGATTCCTGGCGGGGGGAGTGGTGATTTTGTTAACTTGGAAGTTGTTTCTGTGAGGGCTGGTGGGGTTCGATTGTCATTGTTCTAGTATGCAGGAGTCATGAGTTAGCTGTAGTCTTGTTCAATACCATTGCTTTCTCCGTACCTCAACCTACCCATGCCCAAGGCAGGGATTGAAGACATCAAACATAAGGCATCCAGGCATCCAGGCACTAGGCATCCAGCCAAGGGGCGAAAGCCTCGGATGACCAATGCCGACTCACCTCCACTTTTTCTCAGGCACCAACAGCCATCCATGGCTCGAGGCGGCAAAAGTGACTGTACCTGATCCGAACGATTCATGGTGGCAAGATTCAGCCCACTGCACCACTCTTAGGGCCTGTGAATGTTTGTGAGCAAAAGTTGGGATCCACTGGTCGGGCTCAATACCCGAAGAAACCGGGTATGCCTTGGTCAACAGCAGCACCAGCACCAGCACCAGCACCACCAACGCCCAGTCTAAACGGCCCCAGTCCGGTCAATCCCCCATCCCCCTGCTGATAACAGATGTGAGGTATCACTTTGGGGTTGTTTCAAGATGCTGACCACCCTTCCTTACCCCTGTCACTAAGTGAACTAGCGAGACTACAAATAACTTATTCTCCGAGGTTGGGATGGCAGTGCAATCGGAAGCGATTTCGCACCGCAAGGTAACCTGAAGTTAGGGCAGCGTCCTGCTCAAGGTTTCTCTCCCGCGCGGCCGACGAAGCGCCAAGCAGCGTCGACAGCTATCAATGGCAGCCTATTGTTCGGGTTTTCTCTTTTCCCCACTCACACACTGGGCCTTCAGCCATTAGACTGCGTACGCGGCAACTGACAAGCTTCCGTCTGCTGAAAATCATGGAAAATCCTTGGGATGACTTGATCCAGAGGATGGTCACTCTGTCCATGTTGAACAGCTCTGACTGACTGTCGATGGACTCTGGGGAACCACCCCGATCGAAATAAATTAAACCTCCTCCGATCTGATCTCATCCTCCCCTCCCCCCCTCCACTCTTCCTCTCGTTGATGAATTCCTGCAAATGCACGGATGACCTTGTCGGTGTGTCAGGGGAGAGAATGATTCACCAACCAGTGCCACGTTCGACCGACTTCTGTTGGGCCCACTTGGTGCCTGGCAGGCCACGCCATCCACTTGAGCCAATCTGGTTAAGCAATCAGGCCAGACCAGAAGAGACCAGTCAATAGGAGAATCCATGCAATGGATGGGGCCTGAAGTCCCAAACATGTTCGTCTGCCCCCCCCTCCTTCTCCTCGCTGGGGGGGGGGGGGGGGCGCTACATTGGGTCCGCGCGCCTTACCACTGTATTGAAAGCCTGTCATACTTCTTTTAAGTCCTGCTGGCTCTGCTGCTCCTTCCTTTTACTTCTTTCCTTCCTTCTCTTTCTCTCCTTTCGTCGAGTCTTCTGTTCCCCTACACTTTCGCCGTTCCTCATCCCCATCTCTCCTTCGGGATTGTCACTCTTTTTTCTCTGGCTGCTATCAGTCAGAAGTCATTCCTTGAAACCCCCCTAACTCAGTTAACCAGCCACAATTCGATCGTATCGTCCGATCGTCCTTCCTTTTTTTTCTCAACTCGCGTCAGTGTAAAAATCGTCTGAGTCGATATTGACGTCCTGTCTCTACTTTATTCCACCATGTTGTTCTCCAACTACATCCGCGCCGCCGCCCTCTTCGCGGCCATGGCCTCGGCCATTCCCATCGCCATGCCCCCGACGGCCACCGAGGTGCAGGTCGAGACGGAGACGCAGGTGGTGACCGAAGTCCTTGTGGCTGGTTCCCACGGACACGGCTCGCACACCACCACCACCACCGTCAAGCCCACCACCACGGCGCATCACACCTCTACCTTCGCCTCCACCCACGCCTCGGCCACTCCCTCCGCCTCCGCCGTCGCCTCCTCGACCACCAGCAGCAGCAGCAGCAGCGCGACAGGCGGCCGTGTCGAGATCGTCAACAATCTGAACCACACCATCTACGCCTGGTCCGTCTCCAACACGCAGGGCGAGATGCAGACCCTCGTCCCCGCCGGCGGCACCTTCACCGAGAGCTGGCGCACCAACCCGGACGGCGGCGGTATCTCCATCAAGCTGTCGTCGACCACGGAAGTGAGCAAGGTGCTGCAGTTCGAGTACACCGCCGAGAGCGAGACCGTCTGGTGGGACCTGTCCTGCATCAACATGGAGAAGAACTCGTGGTTCACCGAATACGGCTTCTCCGCCGTCCCCAGCGTCGAGTCGTGCCCGTCGGCCAAGTGCGCCGCCGGCGACAGCGACTGCTCCGAGGCGTACCAGAACCCCGACGATGTCGACACCCTCAGCTGTTCGTCGGACAGTGTGATCAAGCTGGTTCTGGGCTGACCGCTGTCCGAAGACAAACAGTTCCATTGAGACTCGCCTGTCTCGTTTCTTCTCTTTCTTCACGCGATGACATATGCCACTCGACTTTCTTATCCTTTCTCTTTCTGTTGACTCTTGCGGGAACGGTCCTTCGAACCTGCGAGTGTCTGCCTTTCAGTGCTTTAGTCTTATACCTTTCAATCAATTCGTATACATAGGTGTGTTCTTATCTACCTTTATCCTTGCCTCTTTGGGCTTCCATTCATTGATGACGTGACGCTGGACGCATGGTCATCTCATTTGTACTTTATCTCACTATAATCGCCAATTTTGTATCGGTCGCACGGCCTCAGTCGGGTCACTTGTCAGATCGCATGAATCTAGATGTACTTGTTTCAACTGCCTCGAAGTTATGCCTCGACTGGGAGCTGCGGGTGTTGAGCGTCGGCGGCAACAGACGTGGAATTGCTGACTTTCGAAACCTGAGAGCCACCGGGGCCGCATATCCGCTGTTCAAATCGCACCCTTTCTCCAAACAAGCCGATTCAGTCTGGCTGAAGTCGAGGGGTTTGTAAGATCTCCTGGTTGTGATCTCGATCTGTTTGAGGCATCCTTTCCCTTCACCCACGAACTGCTCCAGCACGCTATCAAAGTCCAGTCCTTCTTGGTCCACATAGTCACAATCCATGATCTTTAAGGTTTCCAAATTTGTGTGGAAATTCTTGAATCATCCACGGCGAATCATTCTCGTGCGAGCAAGGAGCATCGCAAGGAAGTCCGCAATGGAGGCATTCCTCGTTAACTGTAAGCTCACTGAGGGCGGGAAATTCCCCAAGAGGAGCACAAGGATGGACATCCTTCAACAGCTCCTCGGACAGCTTCCAATCGATCCACTCCGATAAGCCGTCTCAATCACCAGGCTTTCTAGCGTGTCCCGGTGCTGGAGGAGACCATACCAGGGGCCGGCGACGAAATCCTCGGGTCGCATACGACTCTGGCTGAAGTAAACTTTCGACCGCTTCAGCTTTCTCGGCTGCTGCAGGATAGTTGCAATGACCGATCCTGTAATCGTGGTTTCTGGCCACATGCCTGTAGTAATGCTCGATTCCTGTATGGGAGACTGACCCCTCCTAGTCCACAAAAGTTAATCGGCATAGCACAACTGACTTGGCAGCAGTTGCTCAACTCAGCCTCCGTACACGTAGCGAACCGCAGGATGCCATGGATAATTTCAAGAGGAAGGAAGGCCGGGTCACGCGTTTTGAGATGCTTGATAAGGCGCTTGTCAGGTAATTTCATTGTACTGGCGGAGCCGGATACATCCGACTCTGATTCGATATTGGCGGGCATGACGCACTCTCGAGAGGGAAGTTGACAGTAAAACTGGAACCGTGGACACGAATCACATCGATAATGATACGAGTGACAGGTGGTGACGTCACGTGGTCCTTTGTTTCCCCACAAGTACCTACTCTATGGACCACACGGCAAAGGCAGCTTGCGGTGCAGCCTGGCCACGATCTCCGCATAGTCAGGCTCCTGTTCAGCAGTGAGTAGTCCATGACGAATCAGAAAGTCCAGCATGACAGCACCACTGCTAGGTTTAAACCGTCCCTCCAGCAGCGCCTGTTTCACCAACTCCACCCCCATGCGATGGAACTGCCAAATATCCTGGTCCACCGGTCGCAAAACCTCTTCCTCTCCCATCTCCATATCATACACGAAGAGCACCCCGGGATTGATGAGTCCTACCGGTCCCGAGGCGCGTACATCACTAACATTCATCCAGGTCACGGTCCCCGCCGCGCGAGCGTCCGACTGCACCCGGGCCGCCGTCATGCCCGCTTCTTCCTCGACCTCGCGGACCAGACACTGCCACGGCGTCTCTCCAATAGCCATCCCGCCCGCGACCGCGTTATCCAGGAGCCCCGGGTAGGTTTTCTTGTTGGGGTTGCGCTGCGGGATCCAGAACTGGTACCCTGCGACCGTACGCGTGTAGACCGTCATGTGCACCCCCTGCCCAATGATCCCCCACATGGAGAACTCGCTGCGATCAATGGCGACCGGGAACTGAGCCCCCACGATGGGAAACACCTCCCCGCGGGTCCGACCGAGCTCGGGGAAGACCCCGAGTTCGCGGGCACGGTTCATCTGGTGCGCCAGGACCTGGGTGCACTGGGCCTGCCAGTCCGGCCCCGCGGGACGGCGCAGGCGGACTTGCTTCTCCGGCTCGGTTGTGATGTCGAAGTCGGGCGTCCAGGGCATGGCGTGGACGATGTCGTCGGTCAGGAGTCCGTGGGGTCGGTCATCGTCGGGGAGGTAGAACTTCCACAGCGTGCTTGTGCGGTTATCGTAGACGGGGTCTTCCGGGTAGGGAAAGCTAGTATGGGATGTGAGTAAGTGGTGATAGATGTAAGAGGACGACAAGGCGCTCACTTGTCGCAATCTTGAACGACTTGGAGGAAGTTTTCCATCGGCTTGGACATTGTGTTGTGCTGTGTTGTGTGTTGTGTCGTAAGATGAAGGAGGTGGAAACCAGAAGGAAGGAGGAAAACAGCCGGCGAGATAAGATAAGCGGGAGAAACCCTTTTCCATTCCGACAATCAACTGCGCCAGCAGCTGTCGATAACCAACTTTGAAGAATGTTTTGATATGATGTTAGACAGGATTCGTTTTTGTAGTTTTGTGTAAGCTGTGTATGTACGGAGCTCCGAGGTGCGACTCAGCCAACTGAATGGTAGATTAGTGTATATGTATACTCTATCCGATGTTTCACAGACTGCAGAATGTATATATCCTCAAGTCGGTCTCCACGTTTAGGATCGGACAGATGATCCGCATTACATTTGTTTTCTTCTGGACCAGTCAAGCAGTATCTCATCAGAACGGGAAATAGCTAGCTTTTGAAAGAGAGAGAAAGCAGATTAGCAAGATTCGGCATCGTGATAGTGCAGGTCTTGACCATCAAGGAGATGCGCCGTCTTCTCTGCGCAAAATGGCACTAGACCTCAAGCAGCCTAGCTGATACTTAATTACTAAGCTTGCCGAACTAACTTAACCACATCGAGCAAAGCTCCGCTGGGGCTGAGTCTAGGCTGAAACCGGTTAAAGCCCATGTAGACCGGGACCTTAAGTTCCAAGTTAGTTACTTCCTTTGCTGCTGACTGCTGGGAAGGATTCAAACAAATACAGTACTATGGTTTCTCACCACTACTCAACACAAGACTTGCTTCCTTGGAGCCATATGAATCCGATCTTGAAAAGCACGTATTTTCATAATCATATTCAGATCAAAAGATTTGAGCTCAATGAAGTACTCTCCAACAAGAACCGCGGAACTCGACCGAGAAGTGGGTCTCCCACAGCCCCTTTATGGCTTTTTGTTTGAGGATGCCAATTCTACCCCAAACACCTCATCCCAGACAGTATGGCCGAGTGGTCTAAGGCGATAGACTAGAAATCTATTCTCTTCGGAGGCGTCGGTTCAAATCCGACTGCTGTCGTCTTTTTGCTCCGGGGCTCTCTGCCCCTGGCTATTTTGCAAAATCGCGTCAATGGCGGCAATGAAATGCTTGGTGTGGCATGCGGACATGCACAGGGTTGGTGCCACGCGAGATACATCTCCTGTTCTCTGCTATCTATCACCTACTAGGCTCACTCCAGATGAGATCCAGCACAAGAGCATGAAAGATGCATTTCAACTTAGTACCATTTCCAACAATGGATATCTTGCATCACTGCAATCACATTAGACACATCGATGGGTCCATTTCACTTCCGCTTGGACCGTTCGAGCAATGCTGTGGAACTCTTGACTTCGTTGTGCGAAAAGCAGATTCCCATAAATTTCACCATCTCCGCAGCTAATGACGTCGTGAGCAAAATGCCCCGTACCCTGGACGGACTGGCCTGGATCTTACCTGACATTCTCCGGGCCGTGGTGTCATTTTCATCCACGCCATTCATGCGTGTATAATCCAGGACGAGATTGACACGGGACCGACGGGCTTCCTCATACAATGCCAGACGGGCCGGAATGTCTTCCGTGCGAGTCCTGGCGGGTAGTAAGACTGCGAGGGAAACAGCATCCTCGATGGCCATGGCCCCACCCTGACCCATATCTGCTTGATTGTTAGCCTACTGTGGTCGTTCGTCCGGGGAGAGTCTCTGTCACGCACAAGGTTGGAAGGGATGGGCAGCATCTCCCAGCAATGCTGACCGACCTCTTACCCAGGTCGGGAGGGTCTTCATGTCAAAGAGCTCCCAGACTTTGAGGTTATCGTCGGCCCCATCCACGAGTTCCTTGACCGCTGGTCCAAAGCCGGAGAACCCGGACGCAAGTGCATCTTTGCTTCCGACCGCTTGCCAGCCTACTTGCCCGGTCAGAATGTTGGATTTGAATCGAGTGTGGTGCTTACCTTCGCCAAGCCCACCCGCCTCGGCCGTAGGGAGGAACGCGCAGAGATTGAACACTTTGTTATTAGAGCAGGGATACGCGACCAGGCGTCGATCATCCCTTGCCCATTCGATAAAGACGCCAGGCTCCTGGACAATGTCTTTAGTCGCGGCCAATTGGCGCAAGTCATCGGTGGACAGCAGCCAACGGAAGCAGGATTTGCCCGCCGGGAATGGAGCAGGTGGCTGTTGTCCTATCTCGTTGCGGACGATGGACTATCGCGCGGGTTAAAGTGTCTTCCTTTCGTGATTCAACTTCAGCCGGAATACGTACGTGAAGACCATCGGCCCCAAGCAGCAGATCGCCCTCAAACCGATCTCCATTGTCAAGTGTCACCGAAGGGCGCTCACTGTCCACGTCGATCCCGACAATCTTACAGCCCATGTGCAGAGTGGCTGTCTGCAAGGCTCGCTGCTTGAGATAATTGTGTAGGTCGACGCGGTGCACGAGGTACCATTCCTGAAGACTTAGCACCTTATACTCAAGTGACGATACTGGCCAACTCACTGCTTGCCACATGTGTCGAATGCCATCGAACTCCTTCTTATACTTCAGATCGCCTAGGTGATCATACCGATGAATCTAATCGACGACTCAGTCTTCATTCCGCTGTGCCACACCACAAAGCAAGCATCTTATGGCAGGTTCCAAACCTGTTCCAAGAGCGTGCCTCCGAAATCCCTGGGGTCGATGTCCAGCCAATTGAGCAAGGCAGTACAGTTGGGCGGCACATGGATCGCAGCGCCAGCCTCGCGCGAGAACTTGGACTTTTCCACAATCTGAGACGCTCAGCACATACACTCCATAAGATCTCGAGTATGTCATCAAGATATACACACCACGACATGATGCCCTTGTTTGCTCAGTGCAATGGCTGCAGTCAGGCCTGCAATCCCGGCCCCAACGATCAACACCTGCAACGGTCGGGGTTCTTGGCCTGTGACGGTCATTGTGATTTGTTGTCTTGTAAGCTGAGTGCTGATCTAAGCTCGCTTGACTGCCTCCTCTCGCGTCGACTTCCCAGGACATTTTAACCATGCATAGGTGAAGCGACCATTCCTCTCTCGGAGACTCGGACTCGGGGTATTGCCTCGGAGATAAGACGGGATCCGACGGATCAGAGTGGGCTCACGCAAGTACTGATTGTTATGATTATGAGTAGGAGTCTATCCACAAGGGTCGATAGAATATGTCGATCATTTCCCGGTGTTTCAGTGTGAGTTGGCAGGTTCAATGGGATTGCTATCTGGGCTTAGAGTGGAGAATGCGCCGGTTGCTGGACGGGGCGATTCGACGTGCAAGATGAGCCTCGCCAGGGTCCTTTTCTACCTATCCACCACACCGGTGAAGCCTGCAAAACCCCTCAGTATATCATACTATCCAACTACTGTACCGGTAAAGTGCATACTGACAGTCTAGTGTATATGGCTATCATGATGGTTGCTCCCTTCCGGGCCGGTCCGCCCGGAACAGTAAGACGAAAAAGGGGGTTATTTATCCGTCCCCTTCTTTGCCCCGCTCAACCTCCAATCTGTATCTGTCTTGACGGACTGATTTGACAACAAGGAGAGCAATTGTCCGGACTGCATGTTCTTACTCTTACTCTAGTACGATTTACCGAGCAGAAGTAGGAGTAGAGGCCCACGCTTGCATTGTTCCACTATTCGACCGTTCAGCTTCTCCAATACTTGGCCCACTTGCTCTGTCCCTTGACCACATTCACAAACTCCCGCGCAATGATGCGATCCGTCTGCTCGGACGGATGGAGGTCGTTCCACCACATATAGCTGTCCCGGACCGCACTCGAGCTGCAGGCGGAGCCACACCGATAGATCGAGCTGGTGACGTTGAGCGGCGCAGTGCCGTTCAGGTACTGGGACGGGTTCTCCCAGATATCCGTCGTCTGCGTGATATGTCAGCCTGCCTCAATCACCTCCAAAACTCAGCCGTCCTTACCAAAGCATGCGTGTCATAGAGCGCAAAGCTACTCTGCGGATACCGCTGGGCGATCTGCACCTCGTACGGCGTCTGATAGTTGAACACCGCGTTCACCAGCGTCGAGTACTGGCGCATCTTCTCGCTCGACTGCGTGATGTTCGGGTCGTACGTGGACTTGTCCGTCCAGTACTCCCCCGTGGGGAGGCCCCCGTTCTGCGGGGTGGCGTATTCCGGGGCCAGCTCGAGGGCGACGAGGTTCATCAGGACGAAGTTGCGGGCGCCGGCGGCGTGCAGTCGATCGAGCTGGGTATACACGCAGTCGGTGAAGTAGGTCAATGCCATGCCGGCGGGCTGCGCCTCGGTGAGAAAGCTGCCGGGCCCCAGGTCGTTGGTGCCAATCCAGATCGCGTAGACGGTCTCGGCGGGTCGGTTGATGAGGGCGGTCTGGCCGGTGGTCTTGTTGACATACTCATTGTCGGCGAGGAACTTGGGGAGCTGGTCCTGTTTCACCCCGTTGCGCGAGGTGTCGGCCTCCACGGAGTCGCAGACCGCGCCTGCCACGGCGTAGTCGTAGAGGTTGATCCCCGTGTACTGCTGGACGTAACTCGGCCATGCGCGGCCTCCGTCCCATTCGTCGGTTGACTGTTTGTGTTGTTGATTGTGAGTGGTTGTCTTTGGGCTGCAGTGGTTGTGGAGAAGCCAAAGTCATACCTGCGCTGCCACCGGTGGGGTGTACGAATAGACGCCGTCATCGGTGTAGCTGTCTCCGAAAATCACCAGCGAAGAGAACTTCTTCAACAGGGCCTGTGATCGCCGCGCCGGTGCGCAGACTGCAGGGCTGGTGGTCAGCGCCAGAACGAGCACTCGAAGCGCAGACTTCATCGTGATGGAGGTGTCAGCGTTTCGGTTGTGAGATCTTCTGGGGAACCATGTCTTATGATAGACGGGGTGTGCTCCGGTAGTATTTCAAGTGACCAAGGCCCGCAGGCCCGCAATAGCAGTTTCCCCGGGCATTGCTGCGGGGAGATTCACAACTCTTGGTCCCCATGGTTGGTGGAGATTCTCGTGAGGCGGTCTAACACTCATGCAGGGGATGTATTAAGCAGGTTCGAATAGGCTGATTGAGAGAGAGACTGGCATGATGTCAGTGCAGAACTCCTCCCCGCGTACAGGCTGTGCCCTAACGACGGTCTTTAGATTGCGGGGTAATTGGATTTAGCCGGACCACCAAATACAGTACCCAGTGTGGTCAACCCAAGCATCTTGCAGCATGTCTCCAGCAATTCGCAATTGGTGGGATTTTGCCCTTGCATAGGTGGTATCGCCTGCCAGGAGATTGTAACATGGTGCAATATTCGTATGCGGTCATTCTGCATTGTGCAGCAGTTCCGAGGGTCGAAAAGCGGAGATTCTCCCAAGTCGACTGCAACACTGTCACCGCAATGACTGCCAGCATCAAGACAACATAGACCATCATGCTCAGAATTGCCTTTCTCCACTTCACTGTTCATTTAATCCACGCCGTGGTGGCATGGCAAGTCCCTAGCGACTACGCCATCACCCCCTCACCGGACGGCCGCTTCCTGCAGCAGTCCAACGGCAAGCCATTCTTCTGGCAGGCTGACACCGCGTGGCTGCTATTCCACCGGCTCAACTACAGCGAGGCGGAGACCTACCTGTCCGACCGCGCACGCAAGGGATTCACGGTCGTTCTCGCTGTCGGCTTCACCCAGGAAGGGATCACCAGCCCCAACCGCAACGGGGATCTGACCTTCATCGACGAAGATGTGACGCGGCCGAACGAGGCGTACTGGGCCTATATCGACTCAATCGTCGCACTGGCATGGAGCAAAGGCATCCGCATCTGTCTGGTGCCCGCGTGGGGGAAGTTCGTGCATGGAAGCGACAACTCCGCCAGCGTTCTCAATTTAACGACAGCAACCCCCTTCGGCCACTTTATCGGCCAGCGATACCCCTACCTCCCCAAGACCCTCGTGGCCGACACTAACCCCTACTGGCAGAACAAGACTGCTGTCAAGGCGGACTACCTCCGAGGAGGAGTCCCCCCGACCTATGAAGTGGTGGATTGGTCGCCCGTCTACGATGCATTAGCCGAGGGGATCGTGGCCGGCGAGCGACAAGCTATCTCAACATCATCATCATCCTCGGCAGCAGACAAGTGGCAACCCCTGATGACCATCCACCCCACCAACCAATGGTTCACAGGCGGTCCCATCGCCCTGGCGCACGCCTTCTTCGGGAACCGCAGCTGGCTCACGCTGGACAGCAGCCAGTCCGGCCATACGGACTACGCGCCCAACCCTCCGATCCCGTGGTGGAACTGCCGGCGGGGCTGGGAGCCCGTCGAGCGCATGTATGCGGCGGGGAACTCCTCTACGCAACCTTCTGGCGGCAGCAAACCGCGTCCGGTCCTCGACAACGAGGCGCACTACGAGCACCGGTACAATGACGGGAATCCCGATTCATTCTATTGGAATGCCAGCGACGTGCGCATCGGGAGCTGGCAGGCGGTTAGTATTCCCTATTCCTGTTAAATAAAGATACTGACCGCGGGACAGGTCTTCTCCGGCGCCGCAGGCCTGACCTACGGTGCCAACGCCGTGCAACAAATCGCCATCCCCGGATTATACGCCTCGGATGGGAGCGGACCGGGCGACGACTGGGAGCAGGACCTCGTGCTCCCGGGGTCTAGTCAGATGCAGTGGATCCAGAAGGTGGTGATGGATCGGGGCCAGGACAGCTATTTCCGACGCGTGCCGGCGCAGGATCTGCTGGTCGGGGATGTGGGAGGGGACGATGCCAGGGTCACCGCAACCAGAGATCGTGGCGGGGATTGGATCTTGGTGTATACGCCCACGGGCCAGGAGTTCCGGGTTGATACCGGGGGGTTGAGCTCGTGTCCAGCGCGGGCAAGTTGGTTTGATCCGTTGGATGGGACTTATACCTCGTTGGAGTACGCACAGTGCGGGCAGGGCTCGGTGCGAACGTTTACACCGCCGGTTGGGCAGGGGCATGTGGATTGGGTTCTGGTGTTGGAGGTGGTTTGAAAGCGAGCGATGCTACCAAAATATGTATCTAGCACTTAGCAACCTTGCTAGTTGATAGAGAAGATAGATGGCGAGTGCTACACGATCTATCTCTATAAGTTACCGTCTACATCACCGCCTACCCGCAATGGATATACATATACTCCAATGCTCCGTCGAGCCTACAGAATTATAAGCCCTTGAGCTACACTAGCACCACTCCAACACCAATAGTACCCTCACCATTGACCCAACTATTGCAGGTGGAATCCACGTGGCCGATTGCGGAGAGTAAACCTTGGGTGGTAAACTGGTGGCTCTTGCCACTGCACATTCACTGCCCAAAAATCGAACCTCGGGTTGAATGCTGACAAACCACGGATCCAGCAAAAAAAGCCTGACTGCTGAGTCATTCTGCCGCGCGACGTGTCGACCGCCTTTTGTGCCCACTCTGCCTCGGTGCGGTGGGGTCCGATTGGCTTGCGCTGTGGCGTGTGTGGCGCATCTTTGCTCCAGGGGGCGAAACCATGGAAATGAGGGGGATCTATGAATAGCCTGCTAAGACATGTCTCTGAGATGACCTCAATAGCACTGTTCAAGGTTTGCTGGCCCCGTCCGGCTTACGTAGAACTCCCCAGTTTGACTATTGAGTAGGCAGTAGTTTTAGATCGGATTGCTACGGTTAATGGACCTGTATCTGCTGCGTGTGGCCTCGGTGGCTACATAACCACAAGATTATGTACTGTAGCATTCAGCAGGTATAAACAAACTAATGCCCTCAAATTGAGCCCGGTCGCGCAGAGGTTCCTGCAATTTAAGCACCGCCTCGACACGGCAGCCCTCCGTCGCCCGTCGCCCGACACGCCTGGCGTGCACGTGACCCTCCGGGTCCATGCATCTCCCCTCCCCTGATCTAGTGTCAATAGTGGCCGACCATTGTTCATCTACCGATGCTAATAATATGCGTCGAAGATGGAGGTCTAGATGGGTGGTAGTACGGAGGGAGACTTTATTTAGCACAGGCGACGATGCGATGCGATTACTGTACTGCTCACCACGCGACGACGATCAAGACGAGCAAGAGGAAAGATGCACGACTCGACCGTCAGGTTATTCTACGATTGACGTCAGCCATGAGCAACCCGGCCGACTTGCCTTGGACTCCTCTTGAGGGTGAGTTAACTAAGTGTAAGTCAGGGGAGTGATCGATCATCGGAGCGGGTAAGACGCCTGCCAGCTGGAGGTAAAGATCGCCGGTGGTGGGCAAAGCCTCCGTGCGTTGTTGGCGTTCCAGAATTAGACCCAGCGAAATTGGACGGTACCTGCAGCCTGCAGCAGGAAGGTTGTGCTGACGGGGGGGTTGATGACTTGTACTCGAGTAACTAGTCAGGGGAAACAAAGTGACAGGAGAGATGCGCGACCGGGAGATGTACAGTACAGTAGTAAAAAAAAAAGATTCGAGAACACAGTGAAGAACCCCTGGAGAATGGACCAGATCCGTTGGTGCGATCATGAATTAATTAATTTAATTAATCTTCAATTGATCAGGGGCAGACGAGACAGACAGACAGACAGAAAAGAGGGAGAGCAAATAGAGAGCGATGAGAGAGAGAGAGAGACATGGATGGACAGCAGGAGGGTCGTCATCTCCGGACCACTGGGCACCAAGTCAGCCAACCCTCATTTGCGGCTGTGGCTCCACGGGGGAGACTTGTCACTCAGTCTTGGGAGGGACTGATTATTGGACAGGCAAATCCACTGGGATCCACCGGCAATGAAGATTCCAGGGCCAACAGGCACAATTAATCCCTCATTGGATGCGCAGGGTGCTATTCTCAGTGGTGGGTGGCCCCGTTGGAGCGGGACTAGGGCTGCTGTTAGGCCTTTCACTTGTTGCCAGTCTTACTGAGGGCTCCGTTCTAGACCCAAGCAATTCATTCACAATCATCCACCCACGGGCATTGCTTTCTCCCGCTCTTTGTCGTTGCCGTTGGCCCTTTTATCTGTCTGTCCCTGCCCTTCTTTTGCAACTCTCTCCATCTCCCCATCTCTCCATCCCCCATTCTCTTCCCCTCCCTCTCTCTATCTCATTCTTTGAACGTGGACTTGTCATTCTTTTCCAACTCCCGTTCCTTGCATTCACTCACTCTTTACGACTTTAACTCACCTTCGTCAATCTCTATCACACCACCACCACCACCACCACCACCATCACAATGCACTACAACACTTTGGCTGCCATGGCCCTTGCGGCCTCTACTGCCGAGGCTGTCTCCCAGGGTTTCAACTACGGCAACAAGAAGGCCGATGAGAGCTCCATGTTCCAGGCCGACTTCGAGGCCTCCTTCAAGACCGCCAAGGGTCTGGTTGGCACTGACGGTGGCTTCACCAGCGCTCGTCTCTACACCATGATCGTAGGTATACTGCTGCTTGACTTGCAAGGGACCAGACTAACCCCACTTCCCCCCACAGCAAGCCTACAGCACCAACACCCCCATCGAGGCCATCCCCGCTGCTATCGCCCAAGACACCTCGCTCCTCCTCGGTCTGTGGACCTCCGGTGGTGGCATGGCCAACGAGCTCGCTGCCCTCAAGTCCGCCATCTCCCAGTACGGTGAGGACTTCACCAAGCTCGTTGTCGGTATCTCCGTCGGCAGTGAGGATCTCTACCGCAACTCCGTCGAGGGTGTTGAGGCCTCCGCCGGTGTCGGTGTCAACCCCGACGAGCTCGTCGAGTACATCCAGCAGGTCCGTGACTTGATCGCCGGCACCGGACTGGCTGATGTTCCCATCGGCCACGTCGACACCTGGGACTCCTGGACCAACACCTCCAACGCGGCTGTCATTGAGGCCGTCGACTGGCTCGGTTTCGACGGCTACCCCTTCTGGCAGTCGACCTTTGAGAACGACATCAACAACGCCAAGCAGCTCTTCCTCGATTCGTGGGAGAAGACCAAGGCCGTTGCCGGCAGCAAGGAGGTCTGGATGACCGAGACCGGATGGCCCGTCAGCGGTGACTCCGAGGGCGATGCGGTCGCCAATGCCGCCAACGCCAAGATCTACTGGGATGAGGTGGGTTGCCCTCTGTTCGGCAACACCAACACCTGGTGGTACATTCTCCAGGACACCGACGGTGCCACCCCCAACCCCAGCTTCGGCGTTGTTGGTAGCACCCTGAGCACCACTCCTCTGTACGACCTGTCTTGCAAGAACTCCACTTCTTCCGCCACCTCCACTGCTTCTTCGTCTTCTGCCTCTGCCACCGGTGTCTCTGGTAAGACTACTGGCTCTTCCAGCTCCGGCTCTGGCTCCAGCTCCGGCTCCTCTGCCTCTGGCTCCGGCTCTTCCGGCACCGGCTCTGGCGCTTCTGCTTCCGGCTCCGGCTCCGGCTCTGGCTCCGTCTCTGGCAGCTGGGGTGGCCGTAACGGCACCTGGGGCAGCCACGGCAACGGCACTTACCCCGGCTTCCGCCCCTCCGCCAGCTCCGGTCTGACCCCCTCCGCCAGCGCTGCTGCCGGTAGCTCCGGCTCCTCCGGTTCCAGCTCCAGCTCCGGCTCTGGCTCCGGCTCCAGCACCGGCACCTCCGCTGCCGCCGCCTCTTCCTCCGGCCTCTTCACCGGTGGCTCCGGCCGTGTTCTCCCCGGCTCTCTCCTCGGTGCCGTCGTCGGCATCCTCGCCCTGGCTGTCTTGTAAATTTAGCTCCGCGATGAAGGAATGAGGGGGGTTGTTCACCGCAGTATAGACCTTTTTTCTCTTCGTGTACACTTTTAGGACGTTCGTTCAATTCAATGATGCCGGTTGTATGTCGACGGTCTCAAGTATAGTACAATCCACGCACGAATTGATCATCAAGCATTATTTGGCTGAATCACTAGTAAAAAGAAATGCGTCTAGCTGTACTATGAGTCTTCACACAGCTCTACTTACAGATACACACACCACCGAAACCGAATCACGACTCCGTGTTCTTCCCCTTCAGACTCCCCTGTAAACAGCCCACCACATCCTCCACCGTCTTCCCGCGCTGTCGCAACGCCCCGGCCTTCTGCTTCTCCAGTCCCAGCACCGGATCGTCGGCAACCGCCTGATACACCTCCGCGATTCCATTATACCTGTTGCAGTCAGCACACCTATTCCCCCCGCTTTGCCCCCAACACACAACAAGGGGAAACATACACATCCGGCCCAAACCCGGCCCCCTCCTCCATCGTGCGCCCGATCTCCCGCATCTCCTCCACCCACCGATACGCCTTGGAGGGCATCCCCACCACCCCGCGCTCCGCCATCCCCAGCGCCGCAGGCTTATACTCGCCGAGCAGCCCGCGCAACTCGGACAGCACCCCGAACCCCTCCGCGGCGGTGAAGGACTCGATCGCCAGCGCGGTAAACCCCTTCGTCAGGGCGGCGAAGCACATCTTCAGCGCCGCGGCGGTGCCGATCTCGGCCGAGACGTGTCGCATGTTCAGGACGGTGGCGAGCGGGGCGTCCGGCAGGGGATCGGGGCCGGAGACCACCAGGGCGGGTTTTTTCCACTCTCCTTCCCCCTGATCCTCGGGTTCAGGCCCGTGGGTGCCACCGTTGGCTTGGTTATGGTCATGGTGTGCATGGTGTGCATGCTTGGTGAAATGCGGCGGGGATCCGATGATCCCCCCCGACAGGAAGCGGAGATCGTCCGGTCGGGCGGTGGTGCGGAAGAGCTGGGCTAAATCCCGGGCCGTGGCGGGGGACACGGCGTTGAGGTCGAGGATGTACAAGGGGCTGTCGCGGACGAGGTGTCGCGCTGTGGCGGCGGCGATGATGCGCTCGGCGGTGGGGAGGGCCTCGGCGGGCGGGACGATGGAGAGGAGCACGTCGCTTTCGTCGATGAGGTTCTGGAGGGAGGGCCGGAGTTCGATGTCGGCCAGCCAGGCGCGGTGTTGGGTGGATTCACTGTTTTTTGGAGATGAGATGCGGAGCGGGGGGAGGGGGGAAGGGAGCGGGGTTTGTTGATGTACTCTACCTCCGGTCGGCGGCGTAGGTTAGCACGCGATATTTGTGGGCGCGGAGGAGCTGGGCGATGCCAAAGCCCATCTCTCCGATGGAGAGGATGCCGATTGCTTCGAAGGGCATGGTGGGTTGGTTTGTTGGTGGATGCGGAGGGTGAGGTTGAGGTGATGATGAAGGTGAGATTGGAGGTGAGATGAAGCGGGGATGGTGGGGGACTCGGGAATGTGAATGTGATTGCGAATGTGATGAGAAGGATTACAGGATCAGCATGGGTTGAACACGGCTACTGCAGGTTGCTCGTCCTAGCACTTCGATGGCTTATATACTACGGTCTGTCTGTATATTCTGCTCTGTAAATAAATTCTACGGTGGAAGCAGGCCCAAGATAGTCAGACAACTCTTCGTCATCGTCCCCGAGAGGGTGCAATGGGCTGACCGTATCTACATACATTGTACTGATTGTACGTACTGTATCATCATGTGCCCTCGGCCATCGGCCTGCTTCCTCGCCGGTCGGCATCGGCTCACTCTGCCACGGTCGGGTTTGCCTGTTGCATGACCGATCTCCATATCCTGACCCGGTGATGGTCAGTTCGATTATTCGGACCGGATTCCTCGTCCGAGAGACAAGAGACTGCGTGGTTTGCCGATGGGGTGGTGTTGAAGGTCGAGTTAGGGCAATTGAGTCGGGCCGACGGGAGAAGTGGAAGTATGTGTACAAGGTAGGTAGCATAATAGTACACTGTACATAACTTATTACTTATGTAGGTCCAGCCACCCCAAGTCCAATTTGATACGAAGTTTACTGTTTAGTATACTTCGATGCACACTAACTAACTTCCAGATCTCCACACTAAGTGCCGAGTATGAAGGTCAGCCGAAGGCCCTGGATCGTCGGTCCCTTTTTGAGCAAGTCGACGATCCTCAAGCTGCCTCTGCTGCTTCGCTCTGTCGATCGGGAGATCATTGCACGGCCTAGCTGTAGGTTTCAATTTGGTGTGTCTCTTGCTTCTCTGCGGTGTCTGACCGACTGACCTTGGAGCAGTATGCATTTCTACACAGCAGGGTGTACAGTACACAAGTCCCTTCAGGCATCTATCTTCATGCCCAAAGCCACCACCACATCCCGTTATCCACGGGGACTGCAGTGGCAACCGCTTATCGACCAATGCCTCTGTTCAGGAAACCAGTTTCCGATGGATCCAGCCCTTTGACTGATTTAAAGTCTCGTGTGTCCCAGGGCCCGTGGAGCCAACCGTGGGTGGAGGGATCCACCGGGTCTGGCGACGCGCAAACCACCGCAAGGGATCGATGCTTAGCTCTGCAAATTTCGAACCCTTAGCGTCACGGTGGCCACCATCAAAAAAGAATGAGCAATCCAGCTGTACAGCTGCGCAATGTCTCCGGACAATCTTTTCCGGAGCTCCCCCAACACCTAAACACCTATAAAACCCTCCTTGCTCCAACAGCCTTCCCCAAAATGACGGTGAAGTGACAATCCACGCCAATCCTCCTCATCTTCCACCATGCCACCTCCATATCCCACCCCCGATCATTCGCAACCCCCAAGTCCAGTCGAGGATAAGACTGTGTCTGGACTGTCATCGGCCGCCATGTCGCGCCGCACCTCTTTCTCCGATTACCAACCCGGCGTGGGGAGCAGTCGCTTTGCATCCACTCCGGCCACGGGGGCACAAACCCCGGATCCTCTGCTGGGACCCAAAGTCGCCGTCCCCGCCGATGTGCTGAAGAAATTCCCTCAGACAATCGCCCGATCCCGTGAGGACAGCAGCGACGACGACGAGGAAGCGATCGAGCTGTCGGCCACGGGGCCCCGATTCCGTCGTCCCTCTGCGGCCGTTCACCCGGGCGACCATGTCTATGCCGACGAGGCGGGCTCACCACCCCCCGAGGCCACCAAGGCTGCTCGACAGGGGGTGCCTCCGGAGCTGTCCAGCTTTGGCGCCGAACTTCTATTGATTGCCGTCTGCTCCGTGGGCTTGATGCTCTTCTCCTTCCTTCTGGGCGACATGCTGGCCCCGCAAATCCAGATCCGAGCCGCCCTGGGCATCAGCAACACCGAATTGCCCTGGCTGGTGGGCGCCTTCAACGTGGCCAACGGCCTTTCCGTCGTTGTTTCCGGCTCATTGACGGACCTCACGCCTCCTCGACCGCTGATGGTGGGAGCGTTTGGCTGGCTCACCTTGTGGAACCTGATTGGGGCCTTCTCGCTGTCCCCCTCGCGCCGCATCCTCTTCTTCATTGTGCGCGCCATGCAGGGTCTGGCCATTGGCGTGCTGGTGTCCGGGAGCATGAGCATTCTTGGCCGGGTGTACAAGCCAGGCATCCGCAAGAACCGCGTCTTCAGCGCCATGGCCGCCTGTGCGCCTTTCGGGTTCTCCCTGGGAGCCATCCAGGGGGGTCTTCTGTTCCACCACCTCCCGTGGATCTTCGGCTCCAATGCCATGATCACCGGGCTGTGTGCCGTGGCGGCCTTTTTCGCCATCCCCCCGCTGCGGCCCGTGGCCGACGTGGCCGGTACTGAGGCCCCCTCCATCAAGCAATTCGACTACCTGGGGGCGGCCTTCGCCGTGGGCGGTTGCGTGTGCCTTCTCTTCGGCCTGACGCAGGGAGGAGTGACCAATTGGTCCCCGTACACGATCGCCCTGACGGTCGTCGGCATTGTGCTGCTGGTGGGGCTGTTCGTCACGGAACGCTACGTGGTGCGACCCCTCATCCCCAACCGGCTGTGGAGCACGAAGGGCTTCACCCCGCTGATGATCGCCTACTTCTTGGGGTTTGGCTCGTTCTTCGGCTGCTGGCAGTTCTACGCGATCCAGTTCTGGCTGCGCATCCAGCACGCAACGCCCGTCGCCGTGGCGCTGTACCACATCCCCAACGCCCTGGTCGGGGTGTTTGCGACCTGGGTCGTCAGCCGCACCCTGCACCTGGTCCCGGGCCACTACATCTACACCATCTCCATGTTCGCCTTCACGCTGGGTCCGGCCTTCTTCCTCCCGCAAACCGCCAACACTATCTACTGGGCGCTCTCCTTTCCCGGCATTGCCCTGGTGACCTTCGGCCCCGATCTCGCCTTCGCCGCCGCCTCCATTTTTATCACGAGCAACGTGGCGCGCTCGTACCAGGGCAGCGCGGGCAGTCTGCTGGTGACGAACCAGAACCTCAGCTCGGCGATTCTGACCAGTGTGGCGGATGCGATCGGCACGCGCGTCGACAAGACCCCGGACGGGGATGTCGGGCTGCAGGGACTGCGGGCCATCTGGTGGTTTGCGCTGGGGTGTCAGCTGGTGGCGGCGTTGATCACCGTGACGTGCGTGCGCATTCCCAAAGAGGAGGAGAAGGAGCATGTTACTTGAGTCTTTTCCCTCCAACAAAATGAGATATTGATGATGATAATGATGTTGGTAGAATAGATGACTGGGTTAGATGGGGAAAAGTATATAGATTGCATGTTTTCTTATGAGCTATGATAATGATAAATAATACTGGAAGGCATTGGTACATTTAAGCATGATGCTATCCTCTCCGACGATGTTGTCATCTTATCGCGGATCTTGATCCGGCGGGGTAATTGCATTGCCGGGTCATAAATAACCCCTCAGTTTCCCCTCACCGATGGTGTCATCACACCTCGCTTTCACCAACAACACATCCCGGACTCTACTTACTGTGTGTATTCCACCTAC